TCGGACGTCTTAGGAAACATAATACAAATTTTATTGGAAGGTAAAATTTTTATATTAACGACATTATTAACTACCTGCTGCCCGCGACTACGTCTGCGTAGAAGAGACTGAAGGCATAACATTTAGACAGAAAGACTAAACTAAAATATGTATATAAAATTAAATATAAAAATAAAAATAATATATAAAAATAAATTATAGCCCATGTCTTATTCTGATGTATAAGCTATAAAAAAAAATTATTATTTTAAAGTTTCATTAAAATTCATTCAGTAGTATTTGCGTGAAAGAGTAAACATCCATCCATACATACAAACATTCGCTTTTATAATATTAGTAAGGATTATGCCAAAGTTCATCGTCTATATTTTAAAATTATGGGGTGCTACATGGGAACGCGGTTCTTTTTCCACTGACTTTTGCAGCTTTACTTATAATTATTTAAAGTGTTAAAGCTACGTCAGTGAATAATATAAGTTGTTTAAAATGACATGTTCAGTCATTGAATAAAAATTCTGAGACATAGGTACATAGTACAGTAACGGACTCGTTGGAAGACGGTCTTTGCTATAGTCAGTTTCATGCTACTTAGGAGACTTATAGATGAGACTCTAGACTCAAACTATATCCAGCCTGTATCTTGTATCTTGTATTAACTGATGTTTTTGCTTTCAGTCCCGAGACTATTAAAGCTTCATCGGACGCAGAACCGGTGGGCTAGCCAGAACCCACGGGTTTGGATATCCAGCCTGTTATCAGGCTGTTCAACGGACACGTCCGACGTTCGCAAGGTGGTCTCGCACTAAAATCAGTCAATGCTAATGCTACTCAGTGAACTTATTCGCTCTTGACTTTCTACTACTAATAAAAAGTTGTTTTAGATTTCAAAATAATTCTACCCAATTTCATATTTCTTAAATCAATTTAAAAAATAATTGAAATGTAAGTATCACTACGGTGGTAGGGCCACGCAACAGCCTCGACTGTTGGACGAATGGGCAGGCCCGTCCGGGTAAGTACCACGATCTCACAGAAGACCAGCGTAAAGTGAAAGTATGACAAATACTTTCGCGTTCCGTCTGGTGAGTGAGGTAGCCGATGCCCAATTTTCAAAAGGTTATCAACGCATCTGTAACCCTCGGGTGTGGCAGATGTCCATGGGCGTCGGTATTCACTTATCAGGTGAAACGTCTGCCTGTTTGACAACTTTTCACATAAAAAAAAATCACATCATGTTTCATTAATAATGCCCTATGCGTAAATTTCGGTAGTCGTTATTTATTACTCGGTTTTCTAAAAATTATGTTGATACCTAAAAATTTAGTGTTTAAGTTCCGTGTAGCAAAGATTTTCAAACTCTAAAGGCAGCAAAATTAAAATAAAAGAGGGTCTATAATTACGATTATACGAGTACATCCGACATTGCGAGTTTTTACAAAAAAAGTATGTGTGTACTTTATGTACGTACATAAGAAGTTATACTTCTTTAGCGTAACAAAAGAAAACAACAACAATTTATAAATTTAGAATTAACACCACAAATAAAAATCACAAAATAATATTTGGTAGGTTCATAAAAAATCTCTTATTCATTAAAAAGCCTCTGGTTGTCAAATGCCAATCCGTATGACCCAGATTTGTCTTTATTATAAAAGGCACCGCTCATATTACACAATGCCGTTGTATATCTCCGTGTTAAAATAACTGAAAAAACCGGCAAGTGCGAGTCGAACTCGCGCACGAAGGGTTCCGTACCATTATCTATAAAAACGGCTTAATATGCTTGTTTTATGGGAGCCCAACTTAAATATTTTTTATTCTGTTTTTTAGCATTTGTTGTTATAGCGGCAACAGAAATACATCATCTGTGAAAATTTGAACTGTCAAAAACTATCACGGTTCATGAGATACAGCCTGGTTACAAGCGGACAGACAGACAGACAGACGGAGTCTTGGCAATAAGGTTCCGTTTCCCCCTTGGAGTACGGAACCCTAAAAATAGATTTAGAGCATTCGGCGGAAAATTAATTTTAATTTCGGAACGGAAGGACACATAAATGATGCTGAACCAAATTTAAAAAGGAATTACGTTTTTTGATTCGAAATTGTAAAAGTAAAGTATCAGCCTCTTCATGTCCCACTGCTGGGCAAAGGCCTCCACCGTTCAGAGGGTATTAGGGCAAAGTCCACTACGCGGCCCCACTGCGGATTGGCAGACTTCACATATCTTCGAAATATTTTTTTTTTGTTATTTCAAACTGAATTGAAACTGATCCAGGTTTCTCACGATGTTTTACTCCTCACTTAATAACAAAAACATTGGTGACGGCACTGGGGATCTAACTCAGGTTGCTCGAGTATATTGAATTAAAGGCGAGCGCCCGGACACTGAACTATCACGGCTAAAGTTAGATAAAAGTAAGGTCGAAGGTTGAGATTCGAAAGTGTATGATTTAATAAAGAAATCATAACCATTGTTTAATATGACGAAATCTATTAATTTATTATGATGGAAAAACTGTTCTCTTTTTAGAAATATGCTTATCAGTCTCTAAAAATGTTTGTTCCACGCAGAAGAAATACTGCTTTTTTGTATCTCACTTTTAGTTTTAGGTATATTAGAAACGTAGAACATATTAAGGTTCATTAGAGTGCAATACCCAATGTCGGATCTTATGGGCAAGTCGCAATAACATAGAGTTAATGATCCTATGTCCCCAAGGGATAATTCACAACAAAGTGCGGCGTTGTGACCCTATTTTGTCGCCATCCCATGTTAAAAGACATTTACGAAATAAGGTAATAAAACGGGGGCAACCTTCTTTAATCAATTAAATTGTCTCTATTTTTAACTCCACGAATCATTCTACAAAATATGCACCTATTATTATTAAATTTGCAATTTTTTAAATAATTAGTGTTTATTTAATAAATTTAATAATTAACTTTAAACTTGTACTAAACATTGTTCACGACAGGATCTGATCCATACATGTATATCGTCCATTCTGAAGAATAAAGTCCTACCTGCGAAACTGTTACTTATCAGGAAAGTTAATAGAAGTTGTAGACACGTGTAGTACCGAAACTAAGCAACCAAATATTTCATGTATTTATATATTGTTATTTGAATTAGTCTTGTTAAATTTCATTAACCTAATTTTTCTTAATTTTATTATTTTGCGAGTTAGTGGGTCTCATTTTAACATAGGACGTTAAAGCGAAATTCCTGTAGTCTTTATAGTGAATATGAGACGTTATTTTGCGGAGAAGTATGAATTGCTTTATGTTGTATATCAATATCGGACTATTTTCCATGCACTTATATCAATTTTTTTACAGTCTTATGTACATATTTATTTTATATTTATAGTGTTTATACCTATCTGTATTGAAATACATATATTTAATTATTTATTTATTTTTTAAATTTATTTCGCGTATTTTATTTTACGCCTACGTCAAATTTTCTCATTTTTGCTTTTTGTTTAGCCTTAAGTTAGGGTGTAAACAACAGTTTTTTTTTAAAAAAATTTATTAAAGTAGTATTAAAGCAGTATTAAAGTTTACTATTATTATTTATTTAAAAGTAATGGAATGGAAAAGGAAGCAAGACCTTTTATTACAGGGTAATAAAAAAGGAATTTTTCTATAAAAAAATATGGAAATCAAAATCATCAATAGATGATTAGAATGGCTCTGAAACAGCCTTAGAACAACAAGGCACCGGGCGACGACGGAATTACGACAGAACTTTTGAGAGCGGTTGTAAAACCGGAACTACAAGTCCTCCGGAGGTTGTTCAATTCCGTCATACTTCAAGTGTACCACGCCAGAAGCATGACTGTATATAGGAGTGTGTGGTGCTTTTCTTCAAAAAGGGAGATAAGAACCTGTTGAAGAAGTACAGACCCATCTCGCTCCTGAGCCATTTATATAAGCTGATTCAGTAAGCAGGAGGGGTGCTTCTGTTGATTAATTTCGGCCGCTTTCTCTCAACTTCTTGCTTTAATCACATCAGATGTTCGGAGTTCAGAATCAATGGTCCTGCCTGACGTAACAGCTCATAATGAATAATGCCCTTCTAATCCCACCATACACAACATTACCTTTTTGCGAGATAACCCGGGTTTTGCCAGAGGCTGTGAAGCCTGACCAGCCTTAGTCCACGACCTTTTTCGCACGATCTTGTCGTCCGTGACCCACTTTTCATCACCAGTTATCAGGTTTTTCAAAAATGGTTCGGTTTCATTACGTCGTAATAAATAATCACAAATGAGTACGGTTCATTAGGTTTCTTTCAGTGAGCTCTGAGGCACCCAAATATCGGGATTTTTTGTGTACCCAGGTTTTTTCAAATGCGCCAAAACTGTTTTGTGGTCAATTCCCAGTTCTTCAGCTACATCGAAACTACTGATATGCCGATCTTGCTCCACTTTTTTCAAAAACGGTATCCATTTTGTCCGTAACAGTGCACCCAGAGCGAGGTACATCTTTGACATCAAAATTTCCGGATTGAAAACGCTTAAACCAAATTTGTGCTACTCTCACAGACACTGCACTAGGTCCAAAAATGTCACAAATTTTTTACGCGGCTTGCGTTGCATTTTTACCTTTTAGTAGTAAAATTTTAAAATGTATCGAATTTCTTTATTAGAATCACTCATCTTAACAGTAAGAAAAACAAATGAAAATCACACATTATCCTAATTGCAGTCTGGAATTATCTTTTTTAAAATTTTTTAAAAATGAGAAAAAGTGCGAAACGACGCCACAATGACCCATCACGACTGACGTGGTAGGGCCTCGACGAAAACAGAAGCCCTCTGTTGCACGAATGGGCAGGCCATCTCTTGTCCGGGGTGGTACCACGGCAATTTCAAGAATCGACAACGTAAAGTGAACGAGGATTTATGCTTTTTTAGAAATTTAAATTATTTTCGTCTGCTGTGTGAGGTTGCCGGATGCCCTTTTTTTCCCCCCCCCCCCCCTTCTTTAACATGCTAGCGGTATCGAAAAAAACCTCACGACCCAGTGGGGGTACCAGTCCCAGTGGTTCTGAAGAATCCCCCCCTGGGCGGCTGCGACCAGAAACTATTCGCTTTCTGAGCGTAGGAGGCTCAGCTTCTGCCCACGTATTCTGGGGGGAGCCAATACCCTCTCAACTCCCATTGCTCGAGGTATCGGAAAAAAAAACGTACCCCAGGGGTCTTCCCTGGGGAGGGGGGGGGGGGTACCACCAGGCTCACTTCGGCCCCCCCTTCCACCGCTCTCCGTAGATTTGTGCCCCAACATCTGGGGGGGCCAAATACCTCTCCAACCTTCCCATGCTCGATGCAAACTACCACCTAGAGACGGCAAAGCCGGCCTTGCACGTTCCTTACTGAGACTCAGGGGATCTTCTCAGATATCTTCCGGCTGATACCTCTTTCCTCTCCTACCCCGGGTACAAATTGGAACATTCCTTTCTACCGCGGGCGGGGGTGTGCGTGTACGTCAGAGAGGATATCTGTTCTCGTCGCCTCGGCAGTCTTGGAGGACGGGACCTATCCATCCTCTGGCTACGCGTAGACTGCGACGACCATCCGCGTATCTACGCGTGCCTATATAGGTCCCATAGCGGTAATGCCGAAACTGACCAACTCATTGAGCACATCCAAATGGCTACAGACTCCATGCTGCAGCAGATCTCATCCGCAGATATCGTGATTCTAGGCGACTTTAACGCCCAACACGCCGAATGGCTCAGTTCACGCACCACCGATCATGAGGGGAGATCTGTTCACAACTTCGCAATAGCTTATGATCTGACACGACTGGTCACCTCGCCAACGCGAATCCCAGATGTGGAGGATCATACACCTTCCTTGTTGGACCTTCTGCTGACCTCGCATCCGGACGGCTACCTGGTTTCCGTCGATCCTCCTCTTGGTTCGTCGGACCACTGTCTTGTCAGGAGTACAGTGCCCGTTGCGCGCTCTACACGGCCTCGCTTCGCAGGCTGCCGCCGCGTATGGCACTATAGGTCAGCAGATTGGGACGGGATGCGGTCATTCTTGCGTCCTACCCATGGGTTTGCTTCTCGTTGGATGATCCAGACGCTGTTGCTGACTCTGTCACCGATGTGGTGCTTCAGGGTATGGAAATGTTTATTCTATTTTCTGCAATATCCATCGGTGGCAAATCCCAGCCTTGGTTTAGTCGTTCCTGCAAGACGGCATTACGCCGAAAGTGGGAATGCTACCGAGCCTGGGCTGAAGCTTCGGCGTCTAGTGATGTAAAGACCAGCGCATTAAAAAGGAGTATAACTCTGCTTCTAGGTCCTTCAAAAGCGTTATTGCTAAAGCGAAGTTGGAGCACATTAGCAGAATTGGCGAGAGATTGGCGCGTCTCCCATCGGGAATACGTGCGTTTTGGTCTCTCGCCAAAGCTGTCTTAGGGAATTTCTGTAAGCCATCTTTTCCACCCCTGCACACGGAGGATGATTCGTTGGCCCATGCCGCGAAGGAGAAAGTCGATCTTCTGGGCTCTCTCTTTGCGTCCAACTCGACTTTGGATGACCGAGGAAACTCACCACCATCAATCCCCCAGTGCGACGTTACGATGCCGGAGGTAAAATTCCGGCAAAGTGCAGTTCGCAAAGCACTTCTTTCCTTGGACATTCACAAGTCGAGTGGGCCTGATGGCATCCCTCCGATCGTGTTACAGACATGTGTTCCAGAGTTGGCACCGGTTTTAACGCGTCTCTTCCGGCACTCCTATACTTTAGGCGTAGTCCCGAAATCATGGAAGGCCGCGTTAGTGCACCCGATCCCTAAAAAAGGCAACCGCTCTGATCCGTCCAATGACAGGCCAATAGCCATCACCTCCTTGTTCTCCAAGATAATGGAGTCCGTTATCAACGGCCAGCTCCTGCGGTACCAAGAGGAGCACCGGCTGATTAGCGACCGCCAGTATGGCTTTTGCCGGGGTCGCTCAGCTGGTGATCTTCTGGTCTACCTTACACATCGATGGGCAGAAACAGTTGAGAGCAAGGGGGAGGCGCTTGCTCCCAGTCTGGACATAGCGAAGGCCTTTGATCGGGTATGGCACAAAGCGCTTCTTTCGAAGCTGCCTTCCTATGGGCTTCCCGAGAAATTATGCAATTGGATCATCAACTTTTTGGCAGATCGGAGCATCAAGGTCGTCGTCGACGGTGCATGCTCCGATCCTAAATTTGTCAATGCTGGTGTTCCACAAGGCTGCGTACTGTCTCCTACTCTGTTTCTTCTGCATATCAATGACATGTTGCAAATCAGCAACGTCCATTGTTATGCAGACGATAGCACTGTGGATGTCTCGTACACTGGCCGAGCTAACATTTCTCGGGAAAACGTCTACGAGTGTCGGAACAAGCTTATGTCTGAGGTCGAGACTTTGTTAACCACAGTCTCAGACTGGGGTGGACTAAACCTAGTCCAATTCAACCCCAAAAAGACACAAGTTTGCGCGTTAACCGCTAAAAAGTCCCCATTTGTCGTGACTCCTCATTTCGAGAACACTCCCCTACCTGCCACAGCTAGTATCGGAATGCTTGGCGTCGAAATCTCGAGCAACGTCCAGTTCCGCGGTCAATTGGAAGGTAAGGCCAAATTGGCCTCAAAGAAGCTTGGCGTGCTCAGCAAGCGAGACGGTACTTCACGGCTGCCCAACGCCTAAACCTGTATAAGGCGCAAATTCGGCCCCACATGGAGTACTGTTCTCACCTCTGGGCGGGAGCCCCCTATTACCAGCTTCTTCCATTTGACCGCATTCAACGTAGGGCGGCTAGGGTTATCGACGATCAAAGTCTTTCCGATCGGCTTGATCCTCTGGCTCTGCGTAGAGATGTTGGATCACTCTGCATCTTCTACCGCATTTATCACGGGGAGGGTTCTGAGGAATTGTTTGGATTGATCCCGGCGGCTGAATTCCACCATCGGACATCGCGCCAGAACCAAAAATTTCATCCACACCACCTCGATGCCTCCAACGTTCCACAACAGTGCGATTTTTAAGGCATTTCTTGCCTCGCACAACCACTCTGTGGAACCAACTGCCGCCGGCGGTCTTTCCGAACCGTTACGACCTGGGAACCTTCAAAAAGAGAGCGTACTCTTTCTTAAAAGGTCGGCAACGCATTTGTGAGCCCTCGGGTGTTGCAGGTGTTCATGGGCGGCGGTAATCACTTACCATCAGGTGAGCCTCCTGCTCGTTTGCCCCTTGTCTCCATAAAAAAAAAAAAAAAAAAAAACAACAAAACCAGCCAGATACAAATGGTATAGCCAAAGAGATTATATTATAAGTACATACATACTATTTGCCCAAAGAGTTTTTCCCCGACCTAATATATTTAAATGGGGACCCTTCTTTTCAACCGACTTCAAAAAAGGAGGAGGTTCTCAATTCGACTGTATTTTTTTATGTTTGTAACCTCAGAACTTTCGACTGAGTAAACCGATTTTGATGATTCTTTTTATTTTATTTGAAAGCCGGTGCTTCCCTTGTGGTTCCATATTAATTTCATTGGATCTTGGGCTCCGGAGATGCTTAAGGAACACCTGAAAATCAATTATAAAATACAGAGCGGGATACCTATTTATTTGATTTTTAATATTTGGTATTTATTTAGTTTCTATAATAATATCAATAGCGAGCATTTCTATGTAGTTATGTTAGTTACGATAAGAAAAAGACATTGAGTACATTGTGACTCCCAAACTAGGCAGTGCCTGTATCTTGGGAGCCGGAGTGTGCTTCATATAAAATATAAAACATGAAATTGGATGGACCGTACTATGGACAAGTTATATTAAAAAATGAACCGATGTTATAATAATAAAAAAAACGTAGGTAAGGAGCTCGGTGTGTGTGTGCGTGCGTGCGTGCGTGCGTTTTTAGTTAATAAAAAAATAGACTTGTAACTAAACAATTTCAATACAACATTTCACTCTGCAATTAGAAACAGTATTAAAATTATCTATGTACCATAAGTTAAAGATTTCTTTTGAGCACCTTAGTAAACATGTCAATATTATATTATTTAACGACTCTCATTTTATGCATACCTCCATGTTACGAACACACGTATATCAACAAAATTTCCCCAACTCATAATTTGCAATTGTAAATCCGTCTATTAATACTAATTAGTATTCTTTATCACTTAATCCTAATTTATACTTTCTCTCTTATAAGTTTCCTGTTTCGCACATTACTTATCATTTATGACGTACTATTACTTTTCTCTTAATGGGAACACGATTAGAAGTTACTTTCATTTAACGAGTGTCAGTGTCTATAAAATCTCTTTTAGATAAAAATTTTCCAGTTATCTATAACAGTACGGTAAAAAAATTACAATAACTAGCTTTTAGATAGTAATAAAAACTTATTCAGTAATACAGCTATTTATAAAAGACTTTATTCGGTATTCGGACACGTAACGAGCCTCCTTTTATATGTCATTTTCCAAATGAGACGTTTGCTAAAGAACCATGACATTTACACACCCTCGAGTGAATACTCTGTGACCTGTATTGAGCGAAATTTTCTAATGCGTATTGTGTAACGCTTAACGTTATTCTTGCAAAAGAGGTAATTCGATCGTTATCTCTTCATTTTGTTTAATGTGGCATATTTTTTTTAGAGTAAATGAGGTATGCGACGATAGTCCTGTTGCGTGGCGAGAGTTCGATTTCTACAAGAGACAAGTATTTGTGTGACCCATAGATAATTGCTTGTGATCTAGGTGTTTGTCCACGTGAAATTTATGTATGTAGGTCCTTACAGCACATGTTAATGTTATACTTGACCATGTTTTTTTTTTTACAAAAAAAAAGAACTGTCTTCAAAAAACTTTCAAAAAAGTTGTTAGAATATTTTTTCTTTAATAGTGCAAAACTTACTGAAACACTGAAAAATTAAGTAAAAACCTAGTTATGTGCATCTGTATGTCCCATTTATAGTAGAAGATCCGAACCTAAATCGACCTTCACCGAGCTGATAATAGAATAAAATTTATTTTATAATAAATTTAGTATATTGGAAAATATATTATAAATGGGTTGTCTAAAAAATTGGTTGATATCTTTCATTTTTAGAAAATATTTTAAATGGTCTAACCTTTCCTTCATTATAGAATGCCGCATTGTAATCACAACCTGTGAATGCATCATAAGCAGGTAAAAGTCTACCACATATTTTGGGTCCCAACTTTAATGCTAAATCGATGCAGTTAATGCAATGGAGGTGGCGA